TTTTTTTTTTTTTAAATCAAAACAACAAATTTCATTAAACAAAACTTAGAAATACGTTGTTCGGTAATCAAAGGATTACAATAAGCCCCCTTTAAGGATGAACTCAAATGGGCCCAACCTGGCAAAAGCCATCACGGATTCTATTACCATGACCATCACGGTCTAAATATAAACAACCAAGAACAATAACAGATAAACAAATTAAGCCAAACTACTTAAAAATGCCAAACTACTTAAAAAACACAAGAATCAAAGAGAGGTCCTCGGCCACCACACATAAATTTAAAGTAAGAAGAGCTTTTGAATTGAGAGTTTTGAGCAGACCTTTGTTCTGAAGGTAGACGAACACTTATTTTCATCCTGAAGTAGTCCCTTTCAGAAGCCAATTCCTAATCTCTAGCAACTCCTCCTCCAAAGATTGATCCACCCCTCATCATCAGATATCCACCTGTCCACAAGCAGTCCTCTAGTAAAAGCTAAACATGTTAACCTACTTTCTTCTGCAATAATCTCAGTAGCACTGGTTGTAGTTCCCTGCACCCCTACTACTTGATCCATCACAACCTCATGTTCAACAAAGTTGCCTTCCATCTGATCCTCCTTCACTAGGTTATTATCAATAGTAGCTTCAAACTCCATCCACTCCCACCTAGCCTTCTCTACCAACTGACATGTTTTCCATTCTAAAACTTCACTCATTTCTTGTTTTCCACATCCACCATAATAATGAGTAGATAGAGTGATCCTATTTTTGTTGTATTCGGTGGGGTTCAAATTACAGAGATCCAACCACCACTCTTGAAAGCAAACCTCATCTCTACTAAGCCTATCACATTGAATTCCAACCAACTTTCGAATCTTTTGGGCTCTTACACACCTAAACAACAGGTGCTCCAAATTCTCCAATTGTTCCCCACACCATCAGCACAACCCATCTTATCTCATTCTCTTTTCCTACAACTTAGCCTTTGTCCCAATCCAGTTGTGCCAGCATCTCCATATGAAATTCTTTACTTTCTGTTTAATTAGTAATCTCCAAGAAGTTCTCCACACTTTTCACAATCATACATGTGCCTGACTCTATCATCCCCCCCTCTTCTCTCTCTTCTTCAGCATGACAGTCTCGTAAGCTCCTTTGACTGTAAAGATACCTCTCTTGTCACGGTGCCACACCAACTTGTCCCTAGCTTCTCTTTGACTGAATGGATCTTCAATATGTTTTGTGCATCAGAGGTGTCAAACGTGTGCTGAATTAATTCTCTGTCCTATTACTCACCCTCAGCCATCATAAGATCAGCAACTCTAACCAGCCTCAGTATGTCTTCCATGAAGCAACTATTGGATACTTGGTGTGAAATTACACGGGAATCCTACGAACAGATATGTAATTTTCAGTTCTTTCAAATAATCTAAAAATAGAAAATTACAATTGAACTGAAAAATAAATTACAACTGTAAAGCGGAAAGATTAAAGGCGAGGCGAGTAAAACTCTTTTCGCAAGAAGAATACGCCCCGTTTGTTGCTAACGGTTCAGGCGTAACTTCTCCAAAGATACAACGACAAACGTCTCTAAATCTGTAGCACACCAGATTTACGAGCTCAGGCGAACTGGAACGGAGTTGAGAATTGAGCACTTAAAAATAAAAAGAATATCATAAAACAAATAAAATTATCACTTGTTTCTTCTCTTTTGATATTTTTATATCCGATATTTGGACATAAATTCTTCTCTTTTGATATTTTTATATCTGATATTTGGACATAAATCTATTTTTTCTTTCCTTTCTCTTTCTCTTTCTCTTTCTTTTCTCTCTTTTTTCTCTTCCTTTTGGTCTTTCATTTTGTCCAAGCATACGTATTTATAGTTATCAATATCAAGTGTAAGCTGAAGGAAATAGCAAAATTGCCTTAATAATTGCACATGCAATATCAATAATACAACTCAACTTCTCGTGAAAGATGACCTGCCAACTTGAGGGTGTAAGATTCCATGTCAACTTTGTGTTTTAAAATAGATATTAGTTGATAATCATATATTTAATACACTCAATTAATTTACAAACCCCCACATGAGTGTAAATTAAATATATGCATACTAATGTGCTCAATCTTCACAAAACTCTATTGCATCAGAGAAGGTAGCTTTTGGCTTTGAACCTTTCTTAGTAAACATCATCGGATGCACTGGCGGTCTAGTAGACATAATGCCTTGATCTATTCCTCCATAGTGTACACCGAGACAATGACATTCACACAATAGAGTTTTAACTCCATTTCGTTCTATCGTTGTGTCCGTTTTGGCCATGGACAACACAATGGATTCATAAGTGTTTACAATTGAAGCGGCCCACACTTCAAACTTGTATAGGTGACCTCCCTATCAAGAGTATCATGTCCTACTCCACCTTTACAAGGTTAGGGATTCATTAAAAGTCCACATGACTTACCCTTACCACAATCAACATGTCATCTTGCACTTGGGTGCTCTAGAGAATAGCTTTGAACATTCATTTATTCCAAGTGCTCAACTGAATTTTCATAGCTTAGTTTTCCCTTTGAACCATGTTCGTGGGATCTCCACTCAGCATGGTAGGGTTACTACTATGATCATTCTTTACATTGTAGATTTTTAATCCCATTCCCTCTAGCAAAACTGTCAATTGATCTGTATTCAATCCTTTCGTCAAAGGATCAGCCAAATTTTCCTTAGACTTCACATAGTCAATGGAAATAATACCATTTGTGATCAATTGACGTACAGTATTATGTCTACGACGAATATGTCTAGACTTACTGTTATACAAGTTGCTTTGCGCCCTACCTATAGCATCTTGGCTATCACAATGAATCATCACAGGCGGCAAAGTCTTATCCCAACATGGAATATCAGATAAAAAATTTCTAGGCCACTCGGCTTCTTCACCAGCTTTATCTAAAGCGATGAACTCCGATTCCATCGTTGACCGGGCTATACACGTTTGTTTTGTGGATTTCCACGAAACTGCACCTCCTCCAATATAGAAAACATATCCGCTAGTGGAGCGAGAATCTCTCGAATCTGATATCCCGCTTGCATCACAGTACCCTTCAAGTACAGCTGGGTATCTCGAGTATTTTAACCCGTATTCAAGGGTATACCTCAAGTACTTAAGTACCCTTCTCAAAGCATTCCAGTGCTCATGACTGGGATTGCTTGTAAATCTGCTCAACTTATTCAACAGATAGGTCAAGTCTGGTCGTGTACAATTCGTCAAGTACATCAGACTCCCTATTATCCGTGAATATTCCAACTGAGCCACTGGTTGACCATTGTTGACTTCCAGATTTATACTGAGATCAAGGGGTGTCTTGCACCTAGACTGTGCACCGTCATAGGTATCAAATTTTTTGAGCATTTTCTCTACATAATGAGATTGTGACAAGACAATTCTATCTTGGGTTCTGATAATACTTATTCAAGAATAACATCAGCCAAACCCATATCTTTCATGTCGAAATTTCTTTTCAACATTTTTTTCGTATCCATGATCACTTCATGACTACTCCCCATGATCAACATATCGTCTACATATAGACATACAATCACTAATGTATTTGATGTACTCTTGACATAAACACATTTATCACATTCGTTGATTTTGAAATCATTGGTCAACATCACGTCATAAAATTTCAAATGCCATTGTTTCGGAGCTTGTTTCAGTCCGTACAAGGATTTGATCAATCTACACACCTTTCTCTCTTGTCCAGGTGCAACAAAACCCTTCAGGTTGTTCCA